ACGATAGTTTACGACAAACCACAGCCAAACGAACATGCTGGTCCTCAGCCTCCCAAAAGCCATCGAGAGGCATTATTTCGCTCCGTTAGCTGTAGGAGTACAGCACTTTACAATCATCAGTCTACACACGGGAACACAGAAGAAGAAGAAGAGCAGACCGCCAAACTGCCGAAGCCACCACCCGTGACAATCACTTGGAGTGGCGCACATAAACCCCCGGGCGGCCCCAGGTCGAGGGAGCCGGCCGGGCGAACCGGAAATGAAAGTGGAAACTGCTCATACTCAGACTCATAATGAGCGCCAGCCAAATTAGCCATGCATGGTCCATCGTGGCTCCGGCTGCGCTGCGTAACTGCGTTGCGTTGCGATGCTGGGCGGCCAAGCTCTCTCGCTCGTAGGACTAGGCGTGTACTGTTGCTGTCTGCCCAGTGGCAGATGCTGCTGCGTAGATACGTACGTATTTTCCTGGTCCAGCGTACATGCTACTGCGCGACATGAGTACGTACTCCAGTACGTGGTCCGTATTATCCATGCATGGTCCATGCCGGCCCGTATGCCGGCCGTGCGTGTCCACGGGACGACCGGCCCGGGAGGGACCATCATGCTCCATGCATTGTGGGTCGTGGCGTCGTGCATGGGCGAACGAATCTGATGAGGCTAGCTGTTATCAGAGCAGAGAGGCAGCAAGCAACAGATGCATGCATGGATGGATGGGAGATGCGTTTCCTCTTTCCTGCCTGCGCTACTGCATCTGCCATCTGCATCGCACGGCCTAACTACCGGGACTTGGGCCGTTGGGATCCGCTTGCCCTCATTATGTATCCATGCAGATGCCGCTGGGCCTAGAGAGAGGCGCTATAGCTGGGATACCTACAGTGCCTGCTGATCCATAACTCGTGTCTCCTGGTCGATCGATCGATGTAATCAGCGTACAGTTTCTCTCAGGCACGGCACGAGGTGCACCTATCATCAGCATGTTTGGGAGGCCATATCGTATCGTGGATTATTTACTGCTGGCTGGTTTGGTGTGAGAGAAAACACTGTTCCCGACTGGAAATTTACGATCATTTATGAGCCAGCGAACAGGCTGATTGGTGGCTGGTGCAGAACACTTCACCCTCCAGAGCGGTCCATTTGAATGTGCCGCTGCTCCTTTTTCCTCGATCACTTCTTGTTCGAGTAGTAGTAACTATGTGGACCAACAACACCAGAGAGACAGACGACTAGGCATATTCAGTCCCCATATGGAGCATATATCTTGTTGTATGCTAGTGTAGTATATGCACGACCAGCAGCTGTGCAATAATCATGTCGAAAAGCTACCAGCTGTCCATATTTCGCTCTCGGTCGTTCTGCAGGAAACTGTTAACGGATGGAACCACGGCTTCTTGAGTTTCTTGCATACGCACATACACTTACCATCTATACAAACGCATTCTAATTAGATTTGACCAATATATCTTGACTTGATAAAATCAATTTGCTTGTTCCCACGGATCTCCACGCCATTCAAAATATGAGGAAGTTACCTGTATATATGAATTGGCTTGTGGGTTATTCTCTCAATAGCCAGTGCTGATATATATCTTCATTTCAGTTTCCATTAGATAGATCTTTTTTTTTGGGGGAAACCTTCCATTAGATAGATCTAACGTTATAAGGGAGTCCACACCGACATCGTTGTCAAACCGGGCACTGGGCCCCCAATCCTGGCCCACAAAGCCATCCTGGTAAGAGAGTGGGCGTTTCTAGGCACGAATAGGAAAAAGTTCATTTTACCTCTCTGTAGCAATTTTTGGTCTATTCATAGCATATATCTTTTATGGATCTGCTTATTCTTTTTTTCAGAATTTGAATTTTCAAAATTCCCTTGTAAAAAAGAATCCAAAAAAGAGCTTTTTGGATGAAGTAAAAAAAAAGATATACAGCTGGTCATATAATCGTGGTTATATAACTGTCTTCGAAGTTTAGCATTCCTGAACTCAAAAATCGGGTTAACAACCTCCCTCAACTTTTAAAACCGTTCATTTTACCTCAGTGACCCAGTTATAGGTGGTTTTCAAATGCGGTTTTGTCTTTTTCTTTTTTAATTATTTTGGCTGAATATTTGAAAAATCATAATAAATCATAGAAAAAATCATAAAATGTAAAATATAATTTTTTTGGACTCCACATGAGTAGATCTAGACATTAAACATATACTATGGTATGCTTTGGTACAAAGTGTTTGCTGTATCTTTAGATCTATTATTTTCTGTAATTAATTCATAGTTGCAGTTTCTATGGTCCAATTGTTGTGAAATTTTTATGGTAGTCTAATTATTGTATGCTTTAACTGTAGTAAAAATTTCATACTTGTTTCTATTTTTACACACTTTTAACTATTTTAAAACTATTTAACATGCATAAAACTAAATAAATCTATAACTCGGTTATACATGATCAAATGAGCATAAATTTTTACTACATTTCAATCATATAATAATTAGCCCGCCATAAAAATTTCATCACAATTAGACCATAGAAACTGCAGCTTTGAATTAATTACAGAAAAACATAAATCTAAAGCTACAACAAAAACTTTGTACTAAAGCATACCATATTATATATTAACCATGTAGATATACTCATGTAGAGTCCAAGAAAATTGGATTTTCCATTTTGTGATTTTTCTGTGATTTACTATAATTTTCAAAAATTCAGACGAACTAAATAAAAAAGAAAAAGACAAAACTGACTTTAAAAACCACCTATAACCGGGTCAGGAATGTAAAATGAACGGTTTTAAAAGTTAAGAGAGGTGATTTATCCGGATTTGGAGTTCAGGCAGGAAAACTAGACTTTGAGGATAATTCAGGGAGGTAAAATGAACTTTTTCTGCAGGAATATGCTTGGCTGGCTGTCGTATTAATTGGGCCAAAGATTCAACAAGGAAGTTGGATGCTTGGACCTCATGGAGTCCTTCCTGTTGTCCTCCAGCCCGGTCTACCGAAATGCATTGGGCTAAAGGTACCATTCAGCATAGAGCAGATCTAGTCTGTGGCCCAAACTCATAATCCACACTAGTATAGGTGGCCCTGGCCCAAACAGAGTTTTTCAACTTATTATTATTATTTTTTTGCAGTGGTTACAGTTAAAGAGAGGCCGCCCGCGGACTCCCCTGCTGGAGAAGATTATTTGTGGTGCAAGTGATAAATTTCATCGGAATTATCTAGTCGGTGAAAATCCTCTTCCGCACCCCTGATTTTTTTTATTTTGCTTCCCCATTATTATTCCTAAGTATTGAGAAACTTTTCTCTCTCACACATTTTTGTGGAAACTTTTCTACCACTTTTCAAATTTTGCTTTTTTTAAAAATTTTGTGTAATTTCTAAGTAGAATTGAGAATTAAACTAAGATTTAGGTGAAAATCATCTCTCTGTCACACTCCAATTTTAGTCAATACCAACTTATGCTTGATTTACATACAACAAACTTTTACAGAGTTACAATGATTATTTGTTGTAATTTCTAGATGTAATTAGTGTAAATAGTAGTAGAAATTCAGGTGTGGAGAAGTAATATTTCACCTGATTCTTACAACACTTTAATCGGGGTGCAGAACTCTTCTAAAGCACCCTAATTCATAACATGATCACAAATTTTGGGCGTAGGAGCAAAGTTTGTTTTTTCACCCGAGATATAGCAAAATTGGTTTTATTTTTTTCCTTCACATGCAAATGTACACCCATGGCAATGCATATCTCTAGAGCGTTCAGGCCAGCTAGAGCAGTCCATAGCGACGTTTGTTCATAATATTTGTTTCGACCATACTTCCAAAATACTAAGATAACGAGTAAGTTGGACTGAATAGGACTTCATAATATTTTTTTGACATGTTCTTATTTCTTTATTCCATATTATTATTCGTTTGTTTTTGTTTCCTTCCTTTTTGATCTATTCCTTTTTCTTTTTCCATGTCTTCTTTACGGATCCATCTCTTTATCACTTTCTTTCTTTTTTTTACATTTGTCTTTTTTCGTTTCATTCTTTCTTGGTCTCTCTCAAAGTAGAGGAGGGAATAATAAAGATAAATCAGAAAAGTTTACTTTATAAGTAGAGAATTAAATTCATAACCTAGCTTTGGGCAAATAGATTTCACTAACAAACTATTGTTGTGTTAGTTTTTTTTTGTTTGCACAAGTCATCATATTTAAATGTTAAGTAGGAAGTTCAACCTGCCTAATAATCAAACAATTCAAACCTTTAATCAATAAATTAAGTGGTTTTTTTTGCCTATATACTATGTGTTATGCTATCCCTACCAAGAATTGCATTGTGAAGAATAGAGACATTTAGTCGTCTTATACAAGGTAAGTAGAAGAGAGGCACATATTCATGGTTAAGTTTTGTTTGTCAAATCTCCATTTTCGAGTGTAGAAAGAAAGTGCTTTGGATAAGTTTTCAAATATGAACTATATTTTTCTAAAAAAATACTATTATGTACTAATATTGAAGTATGGAGTGCTTTTTTTATCATTTGCTCTCTTCTATACTTTTATAAGTTAGAGCAGCGTGTCCAAGTATACGGTGGGGAGTCCAATCCCAAGTTAAATTGAAATACATTACCTGATGATTGGACAAATCTGCAAACATCCTAAGTTTATACGAGTTTGTGTAGAACGCGTCTGGATATGTTATAGAGTTTGGTTCCAAGATAAATGAAAACGTATAATGTGATTGTTGAATAAATCTCTGAGTTGCATGTTGTCCAGATGACTCTACTACAGATTGTATGTCCCGTAGTAACATACAGGCATTTGTGCTAATTAATGTTGAGGGAAAATATACATTAATTAATTCAAAGACATGAACATACCAAAGGTGAAGCCATATACCACTGCTGTGGATCACTTCTATTTATGTAAACACACTTTTTTTTGAAACGATAAATGCAGATTACATTATTTAAAATCACAACATTAAGTAATAAGCAACGAAACGGGCAGCTGATTCTGATATCAGCTCCTGGTATCCGTTTTTCTTGTCAAAGAAGCCAAGCCAACAGCTGCTTGCACGTAAAACCAGTCATACAATTTATCATAGAATGTGAAGCAAACAATTCTCCATTTCACCTTGAACAAGAGGATGCAGAAGACTGTCCAGAGCCCTATCACAAATCCGGAGCTCATGCCGAGGAGAAGGAAAACATTATCGCTTCCATCCTTTTGATCTTCTGGGGCAGCAGGGATCAAGTTAGTTTCAGGACATTTCTTTGTGAGAGGAGGACCGCAGAGACCTGGGTTGCCGACATAGATTGATGCCTGATCATCGAGCACTTGCAGCTGATTTCCAGATGGTATCTTCCCTGATAGATTGTTATATGACAGGTTCAAGTGGCTCAAATACGTGAGAGCTGATAAGCTTGTGGGGATTTCACCGGATAGCTCATTGTGTGATAGGTCGAGGGATTCTACTTGTGCCAAGTCACCGATTTTTCTAGGAATTTCTCCACTTAAGGCATTCCATGACAAGTTGAAGTTATTCAGTGCAACGAGAGTGCAGATCTCTTCAGGTATCTCTCCAGTAAGATTGTTACAAGATAAATCCAGATTCACCATATCAATTATTTCTCCTGTATATAGCTGCTCTTGACCTTTTGTGACTACTGTATATAGCTGCTCATTATATTCCATCGTTCCATTTGTACCAAATGCCATAGCAGTAGCCAGTGGATCTTCACCTGTTTCTGTTTGTGTCATCCCCTCCAGTTGACAATAAATTTTGGTATAATGCCTGAGAAATTATTGCAAGCGAGGTCCAAATACTGAAGATTAATCAGATTCGCCAACTCCACTGGAATGTGACCGCAAAACATATTATGCCTTAACCGCAAGAATGCCAAAGATGGTAGCTTATCCCCAATCCATGACGGTAAAGCCCCAAAGAATTGATTATGTAACAGATCAAGGAATATGAGTTTCTGGCAGTTTCGGAGAAATAATGGAAATTCACCGGAGAGGTGGTTATTTCCTAAGTTTAGAATACGAATACTCAAACTTGTCATGTTTATTGTGTATTCATAGGCTAGGCAATCCGGAAGCGATCCAGTGAGCTTATTACCTGAGATATCTAAGAATTGTAGTGACCGTAGTTTGCATAATGAAGATGGGACAGTGCCAGAAATGAAGTTGTTATATAGAAAAAATGATGCCAGCCTGGGCGCTCCAAACTCCAGTACGTGGCAGTGGACCATATAAATTGTTTCTACTAAGGTCCAAGATCGTTAGATTAATAGGAAGCTTAGGTATTGGACCACTGAACTGGTTAGAACTTAGATCCATTGCAGATGCTCTCATAAGTTCCAATTTAGGTGATAGGGAGCCACTAATCTGATTACTTCTGATGTTCAGACGTTGAACAGAGGAAGCCATTGTCCAGAACCAATCTGGAACCATGTCAGATATGCTTGTGTTTGAGATATCGAGATTATACATATTTGTTTGCCATCTGAGCCAAGTTGGAAATTTAGGCCCCAGGACGCATGACGAAAGTTCAAGCTCTGTAAGATTAAAGGGAGGAACCCAAGTCGAGTTCACTCTGATGGCTATGGAGTTGTCAGACAGAGACAAGCGCTCCAAGTTTACTAGGCCTGACAAATGCCATTCATGCAAGTCACCGTCTAGGTTGTTGGAGCTTAGGTCCAAGTCAGTTAGATATGTGAGCTGTCCTACCCACAGTGGCACAGGACCAGTGAGCTTGTTATCACTGAGATCAAGTCGTGTCAAATTTCTGAGGGGTTCTAATTTGTCTGGTAGGTTTCCTGTCAGATTGTTGATGGGTAGAAACAAAGTCTTCAATTTATTCCATGAACAACTAGGTAATCGTTTGAAGAATTCTGCTATACTCCCATTGATGTTGTTCCAAAACAAAAATAACTCCTCCAGACTACAAAGATTTTTCAAGTTTGAAGGTATCATGCCCACAAGGTCATTTGCTGATAAATCAAGTCTCAGCATGGAGGTCATATTCCCTAACTCATACGGAAATGGACCATGCAACTGACTGAATGAGACATCAAGTTGCTTGAGGCTAGTTAAATACCAAAACCAGTTGGGTGCGATATGCTTGTGGAAACTGTTATCCGAAATGCTGAGAGATTCAAGAGACGTCAGATTTGAGTCCAAAAGAGAATCCGGGCAGGTGCTAAGGTCACAGAAAGAAAGATCAAGACTTACAAGAGATGGAAGCTTGTTCACCACGGAAACCCAGTTCGTGATGGTACTGAGGTTCACCGAGCTCATGTCGAGGTGCTCAAGGGAAGATAACCGTGACAGCCAGGTGATATCCGTGGAGTGCGTGTCACCAAAACTGGAATCAAGATTCAAGTAACTCAAGTTGGAGAGATTACCCAGGTGTGGTGGTATCCTTCCAACTAAGCTAGACATGGATAGGTCGAGATATCTCAATTCATGTAAAGAGCCCAAGAACTCGGGTATTTTCACCATGCTGAACCGGTTGCAGCTAAGGTCCAGATACTGCAAGTGTTGCAAACCAACAAGTGAGGAGCTTATGTTACCTCCAAGCACCTGCTTACCCAAAACACTGTCGTCGCAGCCCGGGCCTTGTAGATCGAGCTTAACAACATGACCGGTTGTGTTGCTGCACTGGACGCCCTTCCATTCGCAACAGTTATCGCCTCCCCATGATGACAGGCGGTTTGCAGGGTCTGAAAGGCCATCTCTGAAGGCGAGGAGAGCTGACCGCTCATGGGCTGTGCACCTCTTGAGTGTATCATTTCTGTGGGTAGATGCCTCTGTGGAGCTCTTGGTGTGGGTAAAAACGAGCAGGGTTATGGCTATATGGATGAAGGTGATGTCAAGCGTGCCCATTGTTGCTTTGCTTTGGATCTCTCTGTTGTTCTTTGCGAGGAGCGATTTGGTCTGGAGTAATATAACAAGACAAGATGTTAAGGATTAATTATGGTGATACATTTAACTCTAGCGTTTCCAGTGTTTGAAATAGTCTGCAGGTACTTATCTACCTTGATGTGATTGGTGTGTCATGGAAATATCGGAGAAGCAATTCCTGGCTCCTACTAGTCATGGTCCTCTGAAACTGAAAGATCGCCGTTGGCTATTCATGGCCATATATTCGTAAGGCCAAATTTTCTCTATGTTTTTATATTTTTCATCAAATAATTTCTTTCCTTTTCAGAAGATTTGACGTTGCTAGGACTTAAAATAGCAGGTATCTATTCCATCGGATATGGACGGGACGTCGAATCGTCAGCCACTCCAGCCAACCAGTCCGCGCCCGACGACGCACCCAAAGTCCCAAATAACGCTGGGCGTCGTCGCCCTGTTCAAGCCCAACGCCGCTGCCAAAGTCACGCCGGACGCGGCTGCCCAGCCCACACGTAAGAGAAGATAGTCGATTTTCAGAATAAAACAACATAAGCAGAAATACTAGCATGAACATTGCTCGGTACCAGTGAGATTAAACAGTATGAACAAAATACTAGTATGAGCAGTGGTAGATCTAGAGGGTATACCGGGTATGCATCGGCATACCCTGCGGACCAAGGATTTTTTTTTAATTTTAACCCTTTTTTGAATGTAATTTTAAATCTAACATTGTCGGATTTTTTTAAAACTAACACTTTTGGCCGCGCCTATTGCCTTGGCGCAGCCAAATGCCTGTGCCACGCCTAATGCCCTGGCGCGGTAGAGGGCTGACGTGGCGAGGGCCGGACTGGAGGACAGATGACGTGGCTGGTCCTGCCGCGCCACCGACCTTGGCGCGGCAGTGCCGCGCCCTGATCCGTGGCGCGGCTGGGCCAAATATACACCGCGTGCGAGCCCGCCCGCCCGCACGCACCCCTGCCCGCCCTCCCGCCCGCCGCCGCCGCCAGCGCCCTGTCAGAGGCCGCACGCGCCCGCGCCCGCCCGACCTCGCCCCGCCCGCGCCCGCCCGGCCCGGCCTCGGCCGCTCGCCCACGCTGCGCATCGCCCTAGCCGGCCGCGCCACGAACGCCGGCGCGTCAAGGCCGCCCGCTCCTAAGGTACCTCCATCTCGATTAATTTTTTTTTATTATCTAGTATAGTTAGGATTTTTTTATTCCTAAGGTAACCCACGTGTCTCGCGCAGAAGCAAAAGAGTTGATCATGGTCTGCTAGTGCTAGCATTTGTAGGAGCATCTAGGGAAATCGAGTCTATTTTCATTGAGTATTAGTGTCTTTGCGATATCTTAGAACGACTATTGTTATGTGACGGAGGAAGTACTCCTTCCGTCCTAAATAAATGCACAACGAACGACTATTGTTATGTGACGGAGAACGACTATTGTTATCACCTAATAGCGTACTAATATTTATGATACATAATAGGTACTATTACATTAAGCATGGAGTATACTTTCGTAATAAACTTATTAGGAGATACAAATATTGATACCGTTTTTTAGTTTTGATCAAACTTAAACATATTTGACTACTCGAGAAGCACGATGTGTATTTATTTTGAGACGGATGGATTACTTGTAATTTTGGAACCAAAGTTTTATATGGATTGATTATGTATTTATTATCTAGTATAGTTAGAATTTTGGGTTTAGAGATTTAGGCTAGTTAGATTAGTAAATTTGTTTGTGATTTGTTTGTGAACTTACTAATGTTAACTTGAATTTTATTAATTTGAATACTCTAACGCTTTGTTTATCAATTTGTAATAGGATGGCTCTTCCCACGCAACACCCGTTGTACCCCATTCTTAAGGTGGAGTACGACGACCAGCACCGAGCACACATCTTGAGTGACAACGACGCAGAGGTGTCCTTGCCTCCTTTGAGGCCCCGCACGCACACCAGGGCGCATCAGTGGGACGAGCGTTATACGCCGTACATACGGCGTGCCGGCTTCCTCGAGCTTGTCCGTATTGTCAACTACGGTTTTCCGCCCCTTGACCCAGCACTACTTACTGCAGCTGTAGACAGGTGCGAGTGCATTCTTTGTACGTAAACTTTCTTATAACAAATTTAAGGCAACTAACAGTCGTTCTATTCTTATAACAGGTGGAGGCCTGAGACCCACACGTTCCACCTACCTTGTGGCGAGATGACCTTGACGTTGCAGAACGTGAAGGCTATTTTAGGCCTTCGGTTGGGGGGACTCCTAGTGACAGGGATAGTTGACAACGATCACTGGAGGGAGCTGGTGGCTCAGTTTACTGGCTTTTTTCCACCGGACGACGATGCTTCTAAGAAAAACAAGTGAGTAATTAAATCCTATTTAATACCTGCATTGCTTTACAGCTGGCATCGGGTCTCATTTTCTTTGATCAATTACAGGAAAAGTTTCGGTGTTTCGTCGTCCTAGATCATAGAGCGCTTTGATTACTTGGACCCACAAGCTGAGGAGGCTCAGATCAACAGGTTCGCTCGAGTGTGGCTGTGGTACTTTCTTTGTGCTTTCCTCTTCCCAGACGCCTCGGGCAACACCATCAGCTGGATCTTCCTTGACATACTTCGCCAGCCGTGGGAGACCATAGCGGGGTACAGCTAGGGCAGCGCAGTCCTAACATGAACATATCGACAGCTATGCATTGCCTGTCATCGTACCTTAGGACATGCGAACCTTGAGGGTTGCTCCTACCTACTCCAGGTTTGGTGTTGGGAACGATTGCCCGTTGGGAGGCCCTTTAATAATGGTTTACTGGTAAGTACTTCGATTCATTATATTCTTACAGGCAGTTAGATATGATGAGATTATTTGTTGCTAATTAATTATCATGTTCAATGCAACGATGGAACGGGCATGATACACTCCCTACAGCTCTATATATCTGGACGGAAGCACATTTAGTTAGAGGGAATATGTGGCACAAGTACAGGGAGTACACGGACGGTCTCGACGTCCTGACACAACACCAGGTTACGCTCTCTATACTATCGTACCAGTGTCTTCTTCGATGTACACTATATCACAACCTAACACAATTATGAAATTTCAGGTGTTTTGGTGTCCTTGGGATTCTCCGGAGCTCCAGGGCTATCTGAGTCCTGTCACTAGGGACGAGTCACACGAGTATCGCTGCGACGTCCCTCTTTATTTTCTTCCATGTGGTCGAGATTCACTTGTCCATCCGGGTTTGCAGATAGTTTGGAAGAATGACAGCCTGCCCACCACCGCTTTACTCCATCAACCAAGAATTGCACGGGTGCGTTATCGATTAATAACAATGCTACAATTCAGAGGTGTGTTTGGTACAACTAACATCGTTTTGTTGTATGTTTGACCGCAGGAAGTGGTACAAGACCAAGGATTGGCGCGTGACACATAGCCCGTACATCCATTTGTGGCAGACTAGGGTACCACATGCGGTCCTTGCGGGTCCTCCACATGACCAGCACACCTTCGACGAGTACCTACGGTGGCTTCACAGGTCTATGAGGACACATATCAAGCCCCCGTACACTGACGTGGCGATTAACCAGGACTCGGAGGAAGATGTCATCGAAGATGTGTACGACGTTACCACTAGGGAGGACACACAGCTACAGAGAGCCCCTCTTCAAAGATATGTGGTAAGATACTTGAATGGTACAATTTGTTATCGTTTCGGTATTAAGTATGTGTACTAAAACTGTCCAACCGTGTTTCTGTACCCAGGCGACACAATTATCAAGGTTGTCCAACGAAGCAGCGTTCCGGCTTCACGAGTCTAGAGGGCAGGGGCCAGGCGTTCTCGCGGCTTTTGTGGAGGTAAACATAAACTTGTCCGTTTCGAAAATGTTTCTTTAGTATATATGCGTTTGGGTAATGAACTAACTTTAACGTCTATTTATGCAGAAGGTGAAAAAGAGCTGCAGGAAGCTAGCTCAGAAGCTGAGCTGCATGGACACTCCTTATGAGAAACCGTCACTCCCGGCGCGGTCGGGTGGCACGTCTTCAGTCTCTTTGAGGACACCAGTCGGCTCTTCTCAGCCGATGACAAGTGCCACTTCCGCGGTGCGTACACCACCACATCATAGCGCTGGGAAGGACCCTGCAACCGAAGACGAGGAGGAGGACGATGACGACGACGATGAACTCCCGGGCTTCCGCGGACAGCACGACCAGTGGGACGAATAGCCGCAGGACGAGATCGGCATGTCTCAGCTAGGTGGTGCCCACTTGGCACCCAAGGTGCCTCACAGGTACTAACAAAGATATTTTGTTTCAATACGTAGGCTACATGAACTAACGATCATAAATAATTATAAGTAATCGTGCGTATCATATACCTGCAGGGTATGAGCCGTACGCACCGTCGACGCGACTATACCGACGTTGGCTACACTCACAATGTGTTGCCAACAAATTCGTTTCTTTGAGTCGCGGCAGCACTACTGACGAGATTAAGTACGAACTAGTTCAGGAACCGGCAGACCCGGCGTATCTGGACGCCGGTGGCAATTTTTCATAATCGATTAGTTAAAATGGTGCATAACCGTATTATGAAAGACGAAAAACTAATCATTGGCTTATAAAATTCTCTATTTGGCCGTGAAAAAAAACTCAACAAAAGACGGGCGCGACGCGTTTCGATTCAACCATCCAGGTACCATGGGCGGGCCACGGGCGCAGCGGTCATGTGGTGTGGCTGCTCGGGAGGTATATTTGGTCCTGCCGCGCCACGAAACAGGGCGCGACACTGCCGCGCCAAGGTCGGTGGCGCGGCAGGACCTACCACGTCATCGGTCCCCTAGTCTGGCCCTCGCCATGTCAGCCCTCTGCCGCGCCACCAGGTATGGCGCGGCACAGGCATTTGGCCGCGCCATGAAAATAGGCGCGGCCAAAAGTGTTAGTTTAAAAAAAAATCCGACAGTGTTAGATTTAAAATTATATTAAAA